TCGTCATCTTCAACTAAAGTTGTTTGCTTATAATTTTTACTGGCCACAGATTTCACATTAGAAACAGACTTTGCACTGCTGCTTGCAGTCAACAACTCCCCATGCACACTTTGCATGTGGCATTTCAAATTTGAAGTGTTTCCCGAAGTTTTGAGCACATTACCACAATGGTTGCATTTGGCGGCAGACGATGATAATTTTGTAAAATGCTTCCAAAATTCGCTAATACGCGGCATATTTTTCACTTTTATTGCACAACTTTATTCTATATTTATGAACACTAGAAGTATAATTAATGCCGCCAAAACGTGCTTTACTTAGTGATGTTCAATATTTTGCTAGTGATGTTCAATGTGCGGTTAAATGAATCGATTATTATTTTACGTTTGAGGCGGGTTGCCATCGGTTTAATCGATTTAAAAGTTAAAAAAAAAAATTGATTAACATCGAACCAAAACATCGATGGGAAAGAAAACATCGGACGAAACCATCGATGGCAAAAACATCGAACATCGAAGGCAAACCATCGATGTTTAAAAAACATCGATGGCCGATGCTCATCCCTAGTGTATACGAACACGCGACGCTACCCCGAGGGTACTGCGCAGTCGGCGTCGCCCAAGCCTGGTGATACCGCTTTGTATATCCTTCATACGTTGCTGTCTTTAGCGCTGGTTATACTTACATTGGAAGTGGAGGGCAAAGAGAAGCAGCGCATGTGAAGCAGTGGTGTAATTATATTCGGCATAGAGCGCATAATCTCCCAGAATCAGCTGTACGGTGTAATCAGTTAGACTGTTCCAGTACTCCAGGATTTAGATAGACAGACATAACTGAAGCCTAAATGAATTCGACACTAAAGTTAGTTGCTGCTTTTTGTCATAATTTTTAATGAAATGTTGGCAACTAACTTTATAATCGACTTTGTTTCGACTATAAATATGCCCCAATGTATGTACAAGAAAGACTTCTCAGTAATTCCAGTAAATCTGATGGATACTGGAAAAAACTAATGAGAGTAATGAGAGTGGCATCTCTCTTTGAAAATGCAAAAAGGGAAAAATCACAATTCTCCAGACTTTGCTGTCATGCCCTGTGATGCGCTGCGTCAGATAATCGCTTGTATGTAAAGCTGATTAAACAGATTCGATATGTGGCAGTCATGTTATGCGCTGCAGCACAATGCAAGTATAACCAGCTCTTTTTTTCCCTTCTCTATACTATATCTTCCTTCTTACTCATGTAACATTTTCAGTTTTAAAAATTTAACTCTCCCTTTTTGCGATACCGTCTCCGTCTTGCGATACCGATAAGTTTCACTTCACGTTGCAGGCTTGCGTAATATGAGACTTGATGACATGCATAGTTTAGATTTAATTTAAATAAAAGCTTCCCTTAAGAACAATAGTTTTAGTGAAAAATAACCCTAAAGACTAAGTAGATCACAATAATAATAATAATAATAATAGGCTGGCGCTCACACATATGTTAGTATTTGGCCGAGTTTCTCCTCCGATTTGTGGCGTGCGCCTTGATGTTGTCACACAAAGGAGAGGGACCTACAGTTTTACGATGCCGTGCAATAAAACCATAGGAAATAACGCCATATGGCTTTATTTTACTTTACGTTGAGAAATAAAGCCATATTTTTGGGTATGGTCTTATTTCTCACTATGGAAGTGAAATAAAGCCATTGTGGCGTTATTGCACCTTTAATAATTTTTTGTGTAATGTTTACCTAGTGCACAGCTGATGTGCATATGTACATAAAGTAACTCAGTTGAAGTTAAAAAACGTCAAAAACTGCCAGGAGAGGTATATTTTGAATTTATGTTGTTAACCGTGTACAAGTTATTTAAAAAAAAAAAACTTTTTTGAAATGTTGTTATGAGTAATTGCACGCTCAAAAATGCACTAAATCACCAATATTCTCTTTTGAAACACTAGTAAAATATATTATTTGAAAAACTTTTTCAAAAAGTATATACATTTTACAAAGTAAGTGTTTATTTTGTTATTAAAAAAACAAGTAAAAAATGGGGTAAAGCGCTGCCACTTTATTTCTATTTCGTAATAATAAATTTTTCTTTATATGGCGTCTGCAGTGTTGAGTACTTTTCGGTCATTAGCAATTTTATACACACCTAAATTTTATATAAGTATATCTTACAGATGTAAAAGAAAATCTCGTAGATATATCCATACATATGTATGTATATATGTATATTAATTTGTATAGATATATGTATGCACGTATTTATATGACATTACATATTAACTTGAGGTATGTATAAAATTGGTAATGACAAAAACGAAAAGTACTCAACGTCATATACATATATCATCGTTTAAAGTACAAAACCGCATCTCATCGTTCTGCAAAACCAAGTAACTGATATTTGTTGCAAAAAAATGGATTTGCTCCCGAAGCTCTTGACTCAAGCCTTATCCATTCGTGCGGAAATAAACTAGTCAGAAATGCGATTGCTTTATAAAAGAGAGAACAATTTTGAAATATGAGTGTTTTTAGTATCTACCAAATAATTTATGCAACCTCACATACGTGGTTTTGCGTTATCTTGATACGCGGATTTGCAGTATGTTGATACGCGGTTTTATACTTTAAACGACGATATACAGATATATAAATTTATCTTACTGATTTAAAAGAAAACGTCATATATGTATATGTATATCATCAAAAGCAAGAAGAATGAACTAAGCAATAATTTATACGAGGACCGCGTGGGTGGAGCGCGAGCACGGCGCGGGGTGGCGAACCATCGCGGACCGCTGATAAAGAGACAACATTTACTTTTTGTATCGAAACAAGATTGTATGGCTTTATTTGTCATACGTAAAAACGTAAAATTTTTGTTTATTTCTCCATGTGTAATGAAATAAAGCCATATGGCGTTATTTCCTATTGCTTTATTGCACGGCATCCAGTTTTAGGTCGACTCCGAACGGCGATTGTATTTTTGTGAGAAGCTGTTTTTTATGGCAGAAATACACTCGGGGGTTTGCTATTGCCTGCCAAGGGGCGACAGCCGTTAAGAAAATACCATTTTTCGATATTTTTTGCGATGTTGCTTTGACCAGGGCTTGAACCCAGGACCTGTGGAGTGGAAGCGCGTACTGCTTACCACTACACCACAGCGGTAGATCAGAAAGACTTATGAAAATTTGAAGTTAACGCTAGTAATATGAGGTAGCATTACGCAAAATTAAAAACGAATTTTCTCATAAAGCTTAGGTACGTGGTGAAATTTTTTCATTATCGTTTTCGTTGCTTAGTACCTAATACCTACCCATATTACTAATTAGTTTTTAAGGGGAACCATCGCAGGCCTGTGTAATACATTTTTTTTTCAGTATCAACTGTTCTTTTTTGTGTGTTTTTTTTATGGCAAAATATTAACAACATGTTTAAAGGCCATACACACATATTGTTTTATCGGCCAACCAGTTGGCCAACCTCTAGAAGTTGGTGGTGTATAAGCCGTGTGTAGAGAAGTTGGCAAACCTTCGTCAAGTTGTTCGTCAGGTTGGAGAAAAATCAAAAATGTTTGATTTTTGAGGCAGATTGATGAACTTGTTGCTCTTGTTGTCTACACACAAGTGGACAACCCAAAATGCGATTTAATTATTTTAAAAGGAGCATTAACGTTAACATGTGTTTTTCGGTTCGTTTCGCTAGTGAATATGCGTATAATTCATGAAAATAGGGGCGATATCAATAACAAATATTAACAAAAACATACAAATTAGAAGCATTCCTAGCATAGCTTAAAAGTTTACCGGTGCTGTTGTGTTGTTCACAGTTCAAGAACTCCTGCTTAACCCTACACTACTAACCTTATTTTTTACTCCTTTAATACTAACGTTCGCCTGTGAGGCTACTTTGAAAAAAAGTACAAATTTTGTCTTTTTAAAATCTTAAATTTATTTAAAAAAATTGACTTACTAAACATATATCATATGTTTCTAAAGTAAAAAAATAAAATAATTTAATAATTAATAAAAGTAATTCGTATTGAAATTTAACACATATTTTATCATCTTTTCGAGAGGGGTAATTAAATAAAATAAAATATTTTAAAACGAACGAACTCCAACATTCCATAAATTATCTTAAAGGTATTCGTATTTACTTTCACACTTAAAAGGAATTCATTGTTTATCTTTTCTATTGTGACTTGTACCTACAAATGAAATCGAATTTTGTATCACATTGAGCCTTATGAATAAAACTAAGCAATTGATTTTTCTTAAAATTTCAGACCTTTTACGTAAATTTATTTGAATAAATCAAGCAAAAGGTTTGAAATCTCAAGAAAAAGCAACTGCTTAGTTTTTTATTCATAAGGCCCATTCACTGAAATCTTCTTCCAAATTGTCCCCACTATCGCTTCTATTCAAGGATATTTCTTCCAACCATTTAAAAACTTGTCCTTCATAGGTACCCCTCTCGAAAAGTGAACAAAATATTAAGTTCAAAACCGAAAATAGCCAACAAACATGTTAAAAACTGAAATAAGTACAGCAAACAAAATTACCTTTACTACTAACATTCGTCTGTCAGGCGTCAAGGGGGGCGTGGAACTCAGCCGCGTAAGGCCACTGTACAATGTGCGTCTGCTAACAACCTCGTACAACGCTAAACTTAGTTGGCGTGAACGCTTACTTTGATCATAAAAAGCGTTCCTGAAATATCGCGAGAAAACCGAATTCCTTCCGCCTCACAGGCGAACGTTAGTCCAACCGGTTGGTGCATTTGTAGGGAATTTCGTTAAGTTGGTCAACTGGTTGGCCGATAAATCAATGCGTGTGTAGGGCCTTTTATATCTCTGGCGAGACAAAAAAGCAAAAATGTTATAGGCGCGTAACTAAATTAAGCTCTGATCCAGTACTCCATGAACTTACAGGTTTTTACACGAACTTGTAGGAAGTTACAAGAAAAATGATCCCGTACTCCAAATTCCTCCAAAAACCTGTAAATGAGAGCGATTTTCGGTGGGTTGTGTAGAGAGTGAAGTTGCAAGATTTTACTCGGACTTTTTCTTCTGGTAAAATCATGAAAATGGTCAAGCGATCACTGGTTGACGTTTTTACAGGAAAAAGGCTTTTTTTGTTCCCGTACTTTTTCTTCTAACGTACTTCAGAGAGTAATTTTGTTGTTTGATATTTTTACAGGATTTTACACGAAAAGTATTGGATCAGAGCTATAATAGTGATACGTACATACATATACATATTTTATACATATACATATTTGCATTTTTTATAAGAAATAAATATTTTGCTTTTAACTTATAGGTGCCGAATATCGCTATAACTTAAGTGTAAATATCTTAAAGCTTAGTGAAACAGGAAGGTTGTTTGAACTAAAAAATAGATGGTGGAAGAATAAGACCTTGACTTGCAATAACAAAGGGGCTGGAGATAACGCAGACTTGGGATTCCAGGAAGTCCGCGGCATATTTTATACTCTTTTCCTTGGACTATTCACTGCATTTTGTTTCGGAATCTGCGAGTGTTTGGTGCACACTCATGAAAGAGCTTGTGAGGAAAAGGTTCGGAAGGTTTGAAATTACAAAAGCATTACACATAAAGTTGTGAATTTTATCATTTTAGCTGCGCTTCAAGGAGGTATTTGTGAATGAAATGCGTTTTGTTCTGCGAATTTGGAATAACAGAAAACCTGTTAGTTGCACCCCCACAGCCAGTCTTTCAGCCTCATCACGCCGCTCGTCAAACCAAACAATAAAGTCATTAAGAAAAAAGAAGTCACATGAATCCTGTGCTATGTCGGAAGATTTGCGTCATATGGCAGCAATCAAAGGAAAAAGGAATGGTTCAATTGTTAATGAAGCTAAGGTATAAAAAAGTGCGGTTATCGGGTGCGATCGCCCCCTTCAGGACTAAAGAAAGTAAGATTTCGAATAAAATAACTTAGCTCAAACGAGACATTTGAAAACTAATTTTGTAAAAAGTTGTAAGAAGTTTGTAAAAGTTGTAAAAAGTTAAGATCAAAAGAAATTTTCAATCACAATTCTTTTTTTAGACTTGTACAAGATTATTTGTAATTATCAAGAGACCATGTTAATATTTTCGCCAACGTAAAATTCTGCAATAATTGATTAACAATATTATCTGCATTCAGGTCGCACTTCAAGCGACTACAGAACCAAGTGTTTCAATCCTTAGATAAGATAAGATAGATAGATAATAAAAGTGACACTGAAAGGACTATAGAAAGATTCGCAAAAAAGATAATAGCATAATCGAAATTCTGAATGATTTGCTAAGATAATTCCATATTTCATTCGACAAACATTGTAAATAAGAAATTCAGTCGTATTTTTGCATAAATATTGCTTTAATAAACACACACGGAGCTTTTGAACGAAATTAAGATTCAATTTAAAACTACAAGGATTGAAATTTTCCATAGTTTTGAAAACACTTAAATTTTCCTGCATTATGTATCTATTTTTGGTTAATAAAATAAATTGTAAATAAATGAATAAAATGTTAAATAACTTCATTTCAATTTTCAAAATTTCCTAACCCAAGTTTTCCCAGATTAATTTATTTTTCTAATTTTTTTGTTTTTATTTCTATATACAGGGTAAAAGTAACTATAAAGTAAAGGAAAACATGTGACTAAAACTTTGGGAGTATTATAGTTCGTCTGATAGCAGAGGTTGCCATATGGCAACACGGGCCGTACTCCAAATGGATTGTTAGAAGAGAGTATTTGTTTAAAATATATGTAAAATAATTAAAATATTATTTATAGTTCAGGTTAGGTTAGGGTGGCTGCGCCCCGCAGAGCACGGAGCACACGTAGGATGGAAAAGCCCGTTGTGATACTACTGGCCGAAGAAATTTTTGTTTCTTACCCTCCCTTAGATATTGAGCCACCGAGTGCGTTTTATATATCACAAAAAGTCGAGGACGCTCGCCGAGTTCAAGTCGGCTAAACAATCCAGAAAGTAGTTGGTGAAGAGTTGGTTGCGCGTGCTGGCCAGGGCGGGACAATGGCAGAGATATTGTTCGATGGTCTCCTCCTCCTCCTCTTCCTTGTTGCTGTGACAAAAATCGTTGGTGGGTTATCCTAACATTTTACCGTGCGTGCCCATCATGCAGTGTCCGGTGATTACAGCGACTACTAATCTGTGAGAGGAGCAGCCCAGCCGAGTAAGAGCTGTGGATCGCTTTACTTCAACCTTTGGCCAAATTTTCCTGGTAGTACACTAGTAGGTTTCCACAGCCCACCTGGTGTTTACCTCCTCGATGGGTTTGGTCTGTGTTTGCAGGAGGTTAGAGGTATGCCCGCATTCTGAGCAGAACTGACTTCAGATATTTGCGTCCTACTCCTTGCCAGCTCGTCGGCTAGGCAGATTCCAGGAATGCCCCTATGTCAAGAGACCCATACAATAGTCAAGGAGCATTTTGATGCCAGCACGTTGAGAGTTTTCCTGCATTCTATGGCTACTTTGGACGTTGTTCCGTAAGATTCGAGAGATTTGATAGCAGCCTGGCTGTCAGAATAGATAGCGATAGGCTGTCCTGGAGGGGTGGAGGTTATGAGCCACCGAGCCGAACCCATTATGGCGTTTATCTCTGCTTGGAAGACGCTGCAATGGTCCGGTAAGCGAAAACTGAAGTTTAGCGCAAGTTCATCAGAGTAAATCCCGCTACCCACTATTTTGTTAAGCTTGGAACCATCTGTATATATGGCGGTAGGCCCTGGGCCCAAGTCCGTGGCCCCTTCCCATTCGTTCCCCTCTGTCATTCTTGTGAAGAATTTGTTGTCTAGACAGAGTAGAGGAGTGATAAAATCTAACTGTCGTAGATTATCCGGTAGAGTTCCAAGTTCTTTTGAGTGCCCGAATCTGAGGGCTCTCTCCACGGTTAGATCTTATTTAACCTGGCCGCACTGCAGCCGGTCCGAAATTTTCCGAAGAGATCCACACGTGGAAAATTTAATATTATTTCCAGAAAATTGGGTGGGTGTAGTGGGCAGTGCTCCCGGAATAAGCATGCATTCCTTTTGAAAAGTACAATTTCTGTCTTGATTGGATTGACAATAACGCCACATTTCTTGGGCCACATATTTACCAGTCCGAGTGCGTTTTGCAATATTTCACTCAGGGCCTGAAGGTGCTTGCCCGTTGCCACGATGCCGGTGCCCTTAAGGGTTAGAAGTAAGGTGTTCTCTGTAAGATTCGAGAGAAGAGGGGAGAGAACTCCCCCTTGGGGGGTGCCTCTGGTCACATATTTTGTAATGGAACCATCCCCCAGTTCTGATAGAATAGTTCTCTTCACGAGAAGGAGCGCACCAAAATCCACCAGACCCCGCTGCACCCCCGCCATGAGAAGGAAGTTAACAATTGTTAAACGCTCCCTCGATATCGAGAAAAACTCCGAGCGTGTATTCATTTATGGCCAATACTATTTCAATCGTCGAAGCGATTTCGTGGAGTGCAGTCTCCACAGACTTTCCTTTGGAAAATGCACAGGGGGCACAGAATATCGTTAGCTTCTTGTAGTTGGGCGGGAAAAATTCCGTTAGGTCCCGGAGGTTAGTAGGTCTCACAGTGTCCTTTAATCTGATTCAAATGAATCGGTCTGGAACGATGGAATTTCCGATTAGACTATTTTGGAGGGGTGTTCCCGAGTTAGAATACGAGAAGTTAAAAATCGTGGCAAGTGCCGATTTCAAAAACCGTAACTTTTTCGATTTTCGGGTAGGTTCTAGATGAATGATCATGTATAATTACATATATACAAGTCAATTGTATAATAATAATAATAATGGATTGGCGCTTACACATATGTTAGTGTTTGGCCGAGCTTCTCCTCCGATTTGTGCGCCTTGATGTTGTCACACAAAGCGGAGGGACCTACAGTTTTACGCCGACTCCGAACGGCGATTGTATTTTTATGAGAAGCTGTTTTTCATGACAGACATACACTCGGAGGTTTGCATATTTGGTTGTATACATATTTATAAATATATGTGCGGTCCCGACCTATAGGGGGTGTTTGCCCCCGGGGCCGGGGTTCTCCTTATATTAATTAGTTAGTTATAAAATTTTGTTAAGTAGATAAATTTGATTTTTCAATATTCACATAGCTTTTATAATATACAACAAATGCGAAAGCGCATGTATAGATATACATGGTATGGTCATTTCCATGCTAGTTAAATCAACCGCCAATCTGGCCTCATATGAAACATAGAAAGGTTTCGAAGACAACACGTGTTGTCTAAATGTTGTGATCGTAATAACTTTCCCATGGTTAATGAAACTTTTTGAGCTCGAAATTTTGAAGTACGAGATTCAAGGTTATTTACAACAGGGGAAATCAGATATCAATAGAAGACGAGTTTCTTGCATACAAGCCCATCTCAGCTTAAAGGAACGCATTTGACTAAAACAATAAAAACTGTTTTACGCATTCGCTTGGTCCAACAGTATAGCAAAACAAATTCTCTCTTTAGACGAAATTTTTCTATAACAAAAAAGACATTCTCCACATACTATGAAAATACTTGGTATTCTTCAAAAGCACTGAATAAGTTTGTAGTGATAATGTTACGATAAGTACGATAATACAAATATATTATAATTTGAAAATAAAAACCAACTAATAAAAGAATACCTACGGAGTAATAATTGCCCTGCAAAAAATGGGACTAATCCGGGATGACTCCGGGATCAACTTTTGATCTCTTTATATGGAATGAACTGATCGCTTTTGTTCGAGCATGTCCTATGAAGAGACTAATTGTTCACCTTTATACCCGAACGGGTATAAAAAGCGACTAGTCACATTTAAAAAATAAAAATAAAAATTTGCGCCAGCCGCGATTCGAACCGGGGTGCTCAGTTTTGTTAGGCGAATACTCTCTCTGTGTGCCAACGCCGCACATGAAATTTCATTGACTAAGTGCGCACATATCATTAAATCGTTAAAAAGTACCCGTTAGGGATGAGTCGGGGACTAATTGATCTCCAATTATACCCGCAAGGGATGAGTCGAGACTAATTGACCTCCAATAGTACCCGTATGAGACTAGTTGCGACTAATTAATGCCCAATTGTACCCGATTGAGAAGAATCTCGGAATACTCTCTTTAGAGATTAGTCGCACAATTTTTTGCAGGGTGTTAATAGTAAATTTTTTTTGAAACCAGATAAAAGTTGGCCGTTATTAGAGGACAAAAAGTTGGCTATTGTAGTAGACGACCACGAAATTTCCCACAGGGTATACACATCGAGCCCTAACCGCCAAAATAACGTAAGCGATTTTTTTTTTTTTAATTTTCGTTTTGATATAGAAATGCATCTAGATGCTCTAGCAATATTTCTGCATCAAAAATGAAAATTGGGGAAAAAAGTGTTGCTTACGTTATTTTGGCAGTTAGGGCTTGATATTTAAAAATTACTTATAAACAGTCTTTTTTATACTATACTTAAATGCGAAAATGTCGGCTGAAAATCAAAAAAGTTACAGTTTTCGAAATCGGCCTTGCAACGATTTCAAACTTCGCATATTCTGACTTGGTAACGTCGCCCCAAATTAATCTAATTGGAAATTCCATCGTTCCAGTACGACTCAGTTGAGTTTGGCTCAAGAATACCGTGGGCTGAAAGGACATTAAAGCACATTCCAACCTTTCATCACTTACGATGTCCCCAACGGTATCCCCCAAAGACTGGTAGGTCCTAGGATCAGGCGACCTGCCGGAGGTGTCGTCCGAGCAGACCGAGAAGTGAGTGCTCATAAGGCCCTCCAGCATTTCATTACATAATGACGTCCAGTCCCCATTGAGCTTAAAGCTAATGTAGAGGTGGTCAGAAAAAGAGTGTTCTTTGGACACCTGCCAGTTCCTTATCCGATCGGACAAACCGCTCGACACAATGGTGATGTCCACCAGTTCGTCTCTAAATAAGATTACAAAGGTTGGATCGTTCCCACGGTTACATAAAGTAAGTTTATATAAAAGAATAAAGTCAAGTAAATACTCACCTTGGGAGTGGGTGTCGCTTGAGCCCCAGATAGTGTTATGCGAATTAGAGTCGGCCCCTATTATGACCGGAAGTTTTCTGCGATTTGCTCCCTTCACAGGTTCTTGCAGTCTATAGGGTGGAAAAACGTGGCTTTCGTGGCCCATGTAGGTTGTTGCCAGCCACATCACGCTCTCCTTCAGTTGGACGTTGATGCAGACAGTGTCCTCGTCACTGTATTGGGAGAGTAAAAAGTGAGAATATACTTTTTTAATTATAATGCAAGCTCTGATCCTACCTGCTACTGAAACTACTACCACCTCGTTGGCATCAGAGTTCAGCCCGCAAACCTTGTTTCTAACGATCCAAGGCTCTTGGACCAGAATCAAGTCCTAAGCTTTATCGCTGGGGCGAAGAAGAAGGGCAGCCGAGGCTGCCTTGGAATGC